TGTGCGCGCCCTCCTGGAGGCGCAGCTCCAGCGGGCTGCGGGTGCTGAAGCGCCCCTTGCACTGGAAGGGTAGGCTGAGGCTCTCGTTGGTGCGGTGGTTCATGCAGATCAGGCAGGGCATCTTGCCTTTCACCTGCTTGCCCCCGGCCGCCGGCGCCGCCTTGCCCAGCTTCCGCAGGATGGTGTTGAAGCGCGACTTCTCCTTCACCGTCTTGGCGCAGAGGATCTCCGCTTGGCCCATCAGCGTCAGCTCGTCCCCCGCGTGCAGCGTGAAGTTGTACACCTCGCTGTCCTCGCTGAACTCCCCCGACACCACCTGCCCCAGAACGGCCAACAGCTGAGCGGGGCACCCGGCATGGGGCCAGTGCCACGTGGCAGCCCCGGGACCTGCCACCCCTCATGTCTCGTCAGCATCCCCCCCCCACCACCATCCTCTGCTGCCACACCACCATCCCCTGATGTCCCACCACCATCCTCTGCTGCCACACCACCATCCCCTGATGTCCCACCACCATCCTCTGCTGCCACACCACCATCCCCTGATGTCCCACCACCATCCTCTGCTGCCACACCACCATCCCCTGATGTCCCACCACCATCCTCTGCTGCCACACCACCATCCCCTGATGTCCCACCACCATCCTCTGCTGCCACACCACCATCCCCTGATGTCCCACCACCATCCTCTGCTGCCACACCACCATCCCCTGATGTCCCACCACCATCCTCTGCTGCCACACCACCATCCCCTGATGTCCCACCACCATCCTCTGCTGCCTCACCACCACCCCCTGATGTCCCACCACCATCCGCTGCTGCCTCACCACCATCCCCTGATGTCCCACCACCATCCTCTGCTGCCTCACCACTATGCCCTAAATGTCCCTCTGCCATTCCCTGATGTCCCACCACTGTCCCCTGATGCCCGCTGCTGTCCCCACACCAACCTTCACGCTGAAGGTGATGGCCTCCATGACGAAGACACGGTCTGGGAAGATACTGGCCACCTCCTCCACGCTATTGAAATACTGCACGGGCTCACGGATGTCCCGGTCCTGATCCAGCAGCTTGAACTTGCCTGCAAGAGAGACACCCAGCCCCGCGGCGGTGAGAGGAGCCTGGCGGCGAGGACGTCGGCCCCGCGGGCTTGGCAGGCTG